GACAGAGAGACACACAGACAGACAGACACAGACAGACAGACAGACACAGACAGACAGACAGACAGACAGACACAGAGACAGACACAGAGAGACAGACACACACATAGACAGACACAGAGACAGACAGACACAGAGACAGAGAGAGAGACAGAGAGAGAGACAAAGACAGACAGAGACAGAGAGACAGACACAGAGACAGAGACAGACACAGAGACAGAGAGAGAGACAGACACAGAGACAGAGACAGACAGAGACAGAGACAGACACAGAGACAGACAAAGAGGAGAGAGAGAGAAAGACAGAGAGAGAGAGAGAGAGAGAGAGAGAGAGAGAGAGAGAGAGAGAGAGAGAGAGAGAGAGAGACAGACAGACAGACAGACAGACAGACAGACAGACAGACAGACACAGAGACAAAGACAGACAGACAGACACAGACAGACAGACACAGAGACATACACAGAGACAGCGACAGAGAGAGACACAGAGAGAGGAGAGAGAGAGAGAGAGAGAGAGAAAGACAGAGAGAGAGAGAAAGAAAGACAGAGAGAGAGAGAGACAGACAGAGAGACAGAGAGAGAGACAGAGAGACAGAAACACACAGACAGACACAGAGACACAGACACAGAGACAGAGAGAGAGAGAAGTCTAGGATGCATCCCTAATGGCACCCTATTCCCTTTATAGTACATTACTTTTGACCAGGGGCAAAAAAGTAGTGCATTACATAAGGGTTAGGGTGCCATAAGGGAGGCCACCTAGGATACATAGGGAGGTAACCTAGGATACATAGGGAGGTAACCTAGGATACATAGGGAGGTAACCTAGGATACATAGGGAGGTAACCAAGGATACATAGGGAGGTAACCTAGAATACATAGGGAGGTAACCTAGGATACATAGGGAGGTAACCTAGGATACATAGGGAGGTAACCTAGGATACATAGGGAGGGAGAGTATTATTGGCTGGGATCCTCTGCAGCACAACAATGGGTTAATGCAGGATAAACCATAAGGGACGGACGGTCAAGCTATTTCAGAGATGGTTTAAAAAGGTTCCGGCTTAGATTTAGTATTTATTTCCAATGGTCTGTTCTCCTTCTCTGGACAGGTGATTGTTGAAGGGCATTGCTATTTTCAATATCAAACTAACATGTCATCTTTCTACATGTTAAATGTCTTTCACTTTCTTTTAGTAGTTCTTCCATTAAGAGATATTTACATTTTTTTTTAGCTTTGTGGGCGACACGACTAAATTCACATAGAAATGTGAGTTATAGATCTGTCATTCTCATTGAAAGCAAGCCTGAGAAGTGGTAGATCCGTTCTACTTCTACGATTCCCGTCCTTAAACACGTTTTTATTTTTTTGGGGGGGTGGGGGGTTACTGGTCAGTCAATTATCTAATTATTTAATTTAGCCTGTGTAGTGGTCTGCATTCCAATGAGAAAACCTTTCTCCCCTCACACAGTTTTACACACAAAAGCTGAGAGGGTCAGGAACAAGAAGTGAACACGTTACACTGTAACAGAGTACAGAGTACAGCAATAGCAAACATGACAGGAAATACTGAAGCTTAAGCATTCATTAATTTTCTGCTGATTGCACTTGTTTTGGTTGAAAATGTAAAAAGTTAAATCAACTTCCAAATCTGAAGCATGCAATAAAGTTTTTTACAAGTCCCGTGTAGCTCAGTTGGTAGAGCATAGCGTTTGCAACGCCAGGGTTGTGGGTTCGATTTCCCACGGGGGGCCAGTATGATTTTTTTTTTAAATAAAGAGAAAATAACTCAAATGTATGCACTCACTAACTGCAAGTCGCTCTGGATAAGAGCATCTGCTAAATGACTAAAATGTCAAATGTAAGTGTGTTTCACTCACCTTCTCTATTCCAGAGGTCAAATCCATTGTCCTCGAGTTGAAGGGCTGAGATATAGTTCAAAAGTGAAAAGGTATTGGAGGGGTTGGATAGCTCTCTCCTCTTCAGAGAACTGTGGTGCTGTGGACTCCACATGAGTCTGACAGACAGCTTAAAACGACTGGCTGGAGGGATTCCCTGGAACACTCATGCCAACCAATCACAGCAAATGAAAAAAAAAAATCCCACAACCAATAGAATTGAAGCGGTATTTTCCCCCTCCGCCCACTTTGTTCTCTCTCTTTCCTACAATTTGTGAACACCCCATCCTCTGGAACCGAGAGAGACATGACATCACCGAAGAGTGAGAACGCGATATCAGGTCCGAGGAATGTGCTGGTCACATAGTACCCGTCCCAGGAATAGGGTGCCATTTGGAACGCATATATAGTTGTGATCTCTTACTGTTGGGTAGACGTTTCCTGTACCGTTGAATCAACAGCTTTATTTTGCCTTTTTATGGAAGAGCGGAAGGGGGTGAATCAGACGTACGCAGTACAAACCCACGCACTGAAGTTAAGATTGCGGGGGCCGAGAACGAGACAGTCAGCCATACTTACTCTGTAGAAATGATTCATTATTCTAACCTCATTCCAGTGTGGCTGTTTTTAAACAGATCCGTGACTGAGCCAACGTTGCACATTCACCCCAACAGAATATATACATTGGTATGAATGGGACACAATGTTCAGTACAGTTAGGGTTTTGGACATAAAATACTTTTTCTTAATTACTAAAGTCTACAGTCAGTACTGAATCACACGCTTCAGAGAACATTGACTGAAATAGCACCCTATCCTCTAGTGCACTATATTTCACCAGAGACCTATGGGGCCCCCCTAGTCAAATTTAGTGCACTACACAGTGAATAGGTTGTAATTTCTCTGCACAACCTTTGTAAATGTTTTCTATCAAATCCTGCCATCTATAGGCTATAGGTAAAATAAACTCCCTTTCAAAATGACATTACTTTGTGTTTTCTGTATTAAATTGTTCCGTTTTCATAGAGAACTAGAAAGTAATTTTCCATGGAACAAAATGTGTCGGACTTGCTTCAGCTGGCCCGAAGTATTATGGCAGTCGAAGAAACGTAGAATCAATTCAGTTATTGACTGCTGGTCGCAAGTTCCATTAATGACCCATTCATACAGAACACTACCCAGAGATATGACAACCATAAAAAGTAGGTACGGTAGATGTGATTGAGAGATGCTTATCACTCTTATTGATATTGTTCATCAATCATTTCAAACAATGTCACATTCATTTAGACAATTGTGTGATAGAAAAATACAAAATAAAACACAAGGAGTTGTTCAATCAATTAATTATATTAATATGATAATAAAACTACTTTATTAAAGGTGTTCATTTCATTTGGACATTAACACATCAGTGGCATCATCAATAGTTACGGTTTGATTGATAGATCCACTGATAGCGTCGGGGACATGGTGATTGACACATCACAATCAGTTAGACTTGGGATACATTGAAGAAACAATCTTTACACCTACCTAGTCGCAAAATTCCTGTAACTTTCCCAAAAATTCCCTGGTTTTCCTCAAATCCTGGTTGGATTTCCTGGTTATTCCCTTGTAAATTCCAGGAATATTCCAAACAGGATTTCTGGAAAAAACTGAGAATTTGGGGGAAGTTACCGGAATATTCAAACCTACCCCTCACCTTTTAGAATAGAAAGACAGCTTTATATTTTACAATCTGGACATTTAACTGCTAACCCTCTATATCTCAGTACTCTAGTGGTCTTGGGGGGGGAAATTACAATAAGATCAGTCATTGACAAAACAATTCCTTTTAAAAAAAAAGACAAGCAATAATAAACGGCTTCTGAAAAGGTGTTGAGGCTTTGGATGAATCTCAAAAGTCCTCGATTCCTCACATCCTCTCCTCAGCTCCTTCTCAACGTGTCAGAAGGAAGGACTTTTAAAAGAGCATCCTTTGATTATGAAATTAAATGGAATGGCTCACAAGAATGGCTGGCAAAGTGATGTTTCAGACACGGTCGGTCTAAAACATCAGCTCAACAGAATCCTTAAAGCTCAAAACAAAGTACTCTATTCTATTGACCAATGACAGTACAGCAAGTAGACTGGCGGCAGGAGAAGAGGTCGGCATCAGAGCATAAAACACCCCAAAGTGTAGTGCACTACTTTTGACCATAGCACTATGGTATAGAACAAGTCACTTCCTCCCATGGTCAATTGCTGTGTAACGCATAATGAATCTCCACAGCTCTCTCTGGGTGCGTCCCAAAAAAATTGCACCCTATTCCTTATTATAGGGCACTACTTCTGACCAGAGCCCCAGTCAAATGTAGTGCACTAAATAGGGACTAGGGCCCTTAAGACCCTGGTCAGGAGTAGGGCATTATATAGGGACTAGGGTGCCATTTAATTTCTCAGGTTCGCTCCACCATACTGGCAGGTAGCCAACCCAGAATCAACCCCTAACCAATTAACCCCTAACCAATTAACCCCTAACCAATCAACCCCTAACCAATTAACCCCTAACCAATCAACCCCTAACCAGCCAACCCAGACCATCACAGACTCAACCCCTAACACCTGGTGTACATATAAGAGGATTGGATAGTGGTCAGCAATATGGCAAAAATTGATCCTTTATTTATAAAGGTTTGCCTTTAGACACAAATATCTATTTTGCAAGAGAGACCCGTTAAAAAAAACTATCTCACCAGAAGGCAAGGTGATGCTACTACCATCCTGCTGGTACCTTGACTATCCAAATCTTTTAGATCTACTCAAGAGCCTAGGGTGGAGGAGCTAGGAGTTGACTCTAGACCAGGCCCTAGCTAGCCACTTCCCCTTGGTTTAAAACGTAAACCCCCCCCCCACTACCCAGACCCTAGCCTGGGTACCAGTCTGTTTCTGCCATCATTCCACTCCTCCATGCTAAACATACAGCACATGACAGAGGACAAGGAGCGGAATGTTAGCAGAAACGGACTGGTACCCAGTACAACCACAACCCATCTCTGTGGCACTTAAAGCGCTTGAGGCCGGTTCTAATAAAGCGCTGTTGGCCCGTCTGTTGTTCTAGAACTACATGATGATGCGTGGTTCAGGCACCGAGTCGGTGATGGACTTGTGAGGAAGCACGTTGGCACCGTTGAGGTAGAGCTCATCGTTCACAATAACATCCTCCCCCAGGACTGTCACATTCTCCATACGCACCTGAGAGAGAGAGAGAGAGTTAGAGAGAGAGAAGCCATAGGACACATACTGTATACATGTGAAATACAGACATTTATTCATAAACTTTATTTCAAGTGTTTGAGCTGAGGTGCGTTTGATGATTTGGCTTAGCGTTCGGGCCTAATCATCGTTCACAGACCACTGGATATTATGGAAAAACTTTCAGTGAGGGAATGAGCACATTCAGGGACAAACACATATAGGATCAAGACAAGGAGAAACCAAAATCAGATTTTCTGTTTTACTGAATATTTTAATTATAGATCAAACAGAACGGAGTCACAACAGGCTGAGTTTACACAGGCTGCCCAGATCAGCTCCATTTGCAAACGATTGGGTAAAAGATCAGAATTGGGCAGCCTGTGTAAACGCAGCCATGCTGTGTTTATCTGAAGTATGGCTTTAGAGTCTGCAGACTTTTTGGGGGGAAATTCCATTGTGTCATATCCTGTGTACCAGACCCAACTTAAACCAAGCACATCAAGTATGTGTGATGTCACACGTCCATGTTACTCAGGCAGGGTGTGCGCTGCCATCAGTGGAGTGAGTCAAGTTAATGAAGCAGTAGACTGTGTCCTATACACACCCCCCCAAAAATACAACATTTCCTGTTTTATATCACAGCTCTTCTATTCATATATATAGTCAAAATCAAAACACATTTACTCATCAAGGCCTATTTACATCAGCAGTTGTCACAAAGTGTTTTACAGTAAGCCTTTGAGTATGGTCTACTCACCCACTGTCCCTGTGTGTGTGTGTGTGTGTGTGTGTGTGTGTGTGTGTGTGTGTGTGTGTGTGTGTAAAGATTGAGTCTAGTTAATAAAGCGGTAAACTGTCCTCTACTCCTCTTTCACACAAACAAATAATATCTCTGTGGTATTATTACACAGACACAACTCAATATTCAACATGGTCTAAAAATCACCCACTGTGTGTGTCTCTTCTCTAACTCACCCACTGTCCTACGGAGGAGCTCCACCCTACGATGCAGGACTCTAGCCAAGAGTGTGATCTGACCCTTGACCCCTTCAGTACCGTACACCTTTTTATCCTGACCCCGTCCTCCAGCACCACCCCGGCCCCGATGGTGACGTTGGGCCCGATGGTGCAGTTCTCCCCTATCTGGGCAGTAGGGTCCTGGAGCAGAACAGAGCAATGGCAGGTCAGAACAGGGCATGTATTCGTAAAGCCGATCTTGGATGAGGTCCTTCCTGTCCATATATAATCTTATTCATTATGATCTTAAAAGGCTAAACTGATCCCAGATCAGTACACTGACAACAGGGAGCCTGGTAGGTTATATATGCTATTCAGATGAGGCGCCCTCTGGTGGAATGTGTGTGTAAGTGTAGGGACACACTACGTGTGTAACTTAGTTATACAGATAGCGTGGCCTACAATCTTACGCCAGTGTCTGTCTATATTTTGTGGCTTAGTCCAGAAACAAACCCTAGGCCCTCGAGATCTGAAAAGGTGTCAGCAAAATGGAGGAAATACCACCAAGCCAATCAGAGGGCAGCAAAATTGAGGAAATACAACCAAGCCAATCAGAGGGCAGCAAAATGGAGGAAAATCTACCAAGCCAATCAGAGGGCAGCAAAATTGAGGAAATTCTACCAAGCCAATCAGAGGGCAGCAAAATTGAGGAAATACCACCAAGCCAATCAGAGGGCAGCAAAATTGCGCAAATACCACCGAGCCAATCAGAGGGCAGGGTGGAGCTACTATCATATTACTTCCACATATGCAATGTTTTTTTCAGATCTGCCCGTCTTGGTTGACTCACCACCAGTACGTTACCCAGGAACCCAGGCCCAGTCCTCAGTCTGTCAGGCGTGTGTTGTCGAACAGACTGCAGGTACATACACATCCCTGTCAGGAAGTCCTTGGGCTGACCAATGTCCATCCAGAACCCTTGTAGCTCCATGGCGTAGAGATGGTTCTCCTCAGCCATCAATGGGAAGATCTCCTTCTCAATGGAGGTGGGCCTGAGCTGGAGGAAATACAACATACACTGAGTGTACAAAACATTATGAACACCTGCTCTTTCCATGACTCTTTCCAAGTGAATCCAGGTGAAAGTTATGATCCCTTATTGATGTCAAAGGAGGATTTTTAAGCCTTGAGGCATGGAATGTGTAGTGTGTGCCATTCAAAAGGGTGACTGGGCAAAACAAAATATTTAAAGTGCCTCTGAACGGGGTATGGTAGGTGCCAGGCACACCAGTTTGAGTGTGTCAAGAACTGCAACGCTGCTGGGTTTTCTCACGCTCAATAGTTTCCCGTGTGTTTCAAGAATGGTCCACCACCCAATGGACATCCAGCCAACTTGACAACTGTGGGAAGCATTGGAGTCAACATGGGCCAGCATCCCTGTGGAACGCTTTCGACACCTTGTAGAGTCCATGCCCCGACGAATTGAGGCTGTTCTGAGGTGTTCCTAATGTTATGTACACTCAGTGAACATGCCACAATCCACTTTTTTAGCACACAATTTTATCCAACGTGACTTACAGTACAGTGAGTGAATACATTTTTCAGAAGATCGGCTGAAGGTTACAAAATAGATTCTAAATAGGATCCATGAAAGAAGCGGCAGGTAGCTTAGTGGGTAAGAGCGTTGTGCCAGTAACCGAAAGGTCGCTGGTTCTAATCCCCGAGCCGACTAGGTGAAAAATCTGTCGATGTGCCCTTGAGCAAGGCACTTAACCCTAATTGCTCCTGTAAGTCGCTCTGGATAAGAGCGTCTGCTAAATGACTAAAATGTAAAATGAAGCTGTTTCTTTACTAGCTGTGTTGAAACATCATATTATGTGATAAATTAAGAGTTTTCCAACTGCACTAACCTCGATCCTCTGGAGCATGGTTGGGCTGAAGATGTACATCCCTGCGTTGATCTTGTTGGAGACGAACACCTGGGGTTTCTCCACAAAACGGTGGATTCGTCCGTTCTCTACCTCGTACATCACCACACCATACTTAGACGGCTCCTCTACCTTCGTTACCTAGGAACAGACGTGTGCTTGTTTGAGATTGACTACATTGCAGTCCGTAAAAAATCACCTTGCATCACTAATGATTAGAGCTCTTGTCTTGCTCAAGCTGATCCCCTGAAACATTTTCACAGTGCTGATTGGCTCTACAAGGTTCTATCCAGTAACAACCCATAGCCTCTAAACACAGCTGATTGCGTATAAACCAGTGTGGTAGTGTTCCCACCTTGCCCTCTGATGAGCCGGGTGGTATTTTCACCATATGGCTTACACCTAGCCAATCCTCTCAGATCTACAGTGCATTTGGAAAGTATTCAGACCCCTTCCCCTTTTCCACTTTGTTCCTTACAGCCTTATTCTAAAAAAATGATTAAATAAATAAAAATCCTCAATCTACACACAATACCCCATAATGACAAAGCGAAAACTGAAATTCCTTATTTACATAAGTATTCAGACCCTTTGCTATGAGACTTGAAATTGAGCTCAGGTACATCCTGTTTCCATTGATCATCCTTGGAGATGTTTCTACAACTTGATTGGAGTCCACCTGTGGTAAATTCAATTGATTGGACATGATTTGGAAAGGCACACACCTGTCTATATAAGGTCCCACAGTTGACAGTGCATGTCAGAGCAAAAACTAAGCCATGAGGTCAAGGAATTGTCCGTAGAGCTCCGAGACAGGATCGTGTCGAGGCACAGATCTGGGGAAGGGTACCAAAACATTTCTGCAGCATTGAAGGTCCCCAAGAACACAGTGGCCTTCTTCATTCTTAAATGGAAAAAGTTTGGAACCACCAAGACTCTTCCTAGAGCTGTCCGCCCGGCCAAACTGAGCAATCGGGGAAGAAGGTCCTTGGTCACAGAGGTGACCAACAACCCGATGGTCACTCTGACAGAGCTCCAGAGTTCCTCTGTGGAGATGGGAGAACCTTCCAGAAGGACAACCATCTCTGCAGCACTCCACCAATCAGGCCTTTATGGTAGAGTGGCCAGACGGAAGCACATGACAGCCCGCTTGGAGTTTGCCAAAAGGCACCAAAAGGACTCTCAGACCATGAGAAACAAGATTTTCTGGTCTGGTGAAACCGAGATTAAACTCTTTGGCCGTGAATGCCAAGCGTCACGTCTGGAAGAAACCTGGCACCATCCCTACGGTGAAGCATGGTGGTGACAGCATCATGCTGTGGGGATGTTTTTCAGCGGCACGGACTGAGAGACTAGTCAGGAACGAGGGAAAGATGAACGGAGCAAAGTACAGAGAGATACTTGATGAAAACCTGCTCCAGAGCGCTCAGGACCTCAGACTGGGGCAAAGGGTCACCTTCCAACAGGACAACGACGCCAAGCACACAGCCAAGACAACGCAGGAGTGGCTTTGGGACAAGTCTCTGAATGTCTTTGAGTGGCCCAGCCAGAGCACGGACTTGAACCCGATCTAACATTTCTGGAGAGACCTGAAAATAGCTGTGCAGTGATGCTCATAATTAACCTGACAGAGCTTAAGAGGATCTGCAGAGAAGAATGTGAGAAACTCCCCAAATACAGGTGTGCCAAGCTTGTAGCGTCATACCCAAGAAGACTCGAGGCTGTAATCGCTGCCAAAGGTGCTTCAACAAAGTACTGAGTAAATGGACTGAATACTTGTGTAAATGTGATTTCAGTTGTTTTTTTTTTGATAAAATGTGCAAAATTCTAAAAACCTGTTTTTGCTTTGTCATTATGGGGTATTGTGTGTAGATTGATGAGGGGGAAAAACCATTAAATCTATTTTAGAATAAGGCTGAAACGTAACAAAATGTGGAAAAAGTCAAGGGGTCTGAATACTTTCCGAATACACCGTTCAGGAGTATCTAGGGTGTAGGAGTTATGGGTTGTTACGGTGTATGGACAGGGCCAACATTAAAACAGTTTAACTTTTACCACAATGGTTCCCTCTCTGCCGTGGTGCTTGTGGAACTTTAACATGTCCTCGAAGGGGAAGTCACAGATGACATCACTGTTGAGGACGAAGAACGGCTCGTCGTTGTCTGTTAGCAGCTCTCTGGCCAGAGCAAGAGGACCGGCTGGGGGACAAGGACAACACACTCTGGGTGAACAATTATATTCTATTAACTTTGTGTATTTTCCGTAAGTATAAAAGGACATACAAACTTGGGGGTGAACAGTTCAATTCTATTCAATCAACTAGATTTTTATGCCTATAAAAAAGGATCCATTGCTGCTGGGCTGAAAGTGTCCGTCGTACACCATAGATACATTCATTCTGCAGCATCAGAATGTCCTCACATTATGTTGTAGCTCATGAGTATGTCCTGAACATGTGACCACTGATCACCAGACCATTTCACAGTCAGGAAAATCCTGTCCCTATTCATGAGCAAAGAGGACCATGGGAAAGCCCTAAACAAGGCACTGACAGACTGGTACGATTGTTGAGCGTCTGCCGGCCCGATAGTACTTAGCACCTCTGAACAGAGTGCCGGCCGTAATTTGCAAACCGATTCTATAATAAACAACATGCAAAAAATGTCAACGATTTTACTGAGTTAGTTCATGTAAGGAAATCAGTCAATTCTTAGGCCTTAATCTATGGATTTCACATGACTGGGAATACTGATATGCATCTGTTGGTCACAGATACTGTACCTTCAAAAAAAGGTAGGGGGCGTGGATCAGAAAACTAGTCAGTATCTGTTGTGACCACCATTTGCCTCATGCAGCGCGACACATCTCCTTTGCATAGAGTTGATCAGGCTGTTGATTGGGAAACCCAGCCGCGAGCCGCCCAGCGACGCGAGCCTACCAGACGGGCCAAATGCCTTTCATGCTCGCTTCGAGGCAAGCAACACTGAAGCATGCATGAGAGCACCAGCTGTAGGGAGGAGCAACAGCCTATAGGGAGGAGGTCAGAGACCTGGCAGTGTGGTGCCAGGACAACAACCTCTCCCTCAATGTGAGCAAGACAAAGGAGCTGATCGTAGACTACAGCAAAAGGAGGGCCGTACAGGCCTTGCGACATGGGGCCGTGCATTATCATGCTAAAACATGAGGTGATGGCAGCGAATGAATGGCACGACAATGGGCCTCAGGATCTCGTCATGGTATCTGTGTAATGATCATGCTGTTTAAATCAGCTGCTTGATTTGCCACACCTGTCAGGTGGATGGATTATCTTGGCAAAGGAGAAATGCTCACTAACAGGGTTGTAAACCAATTTGTGCACAACATTTGAGAGAAATAAGCTTTTTGTGCATATGGAATATTTCTGGGATATTTTATTTCTGCTCATTTTTGTATTTATTAAGGATCCCCATTAGTTCCTCCCAAGGCAGCAGCTACTCTTCCTGGGGTCCAGCTACATTAAGGCAGTTATATACAATTTAAAATATTACATGACATTACATTTCATAACACTTTTCACAACACATTAAGTGTGTTCCCTCAGGCCACTACTTTGCGTATGCGTTGGTCTGTGCCTGTGTGTCTCTTCACAGTCCCCGCTGTTCCATAAGGTGTATTTTTTAACTGTTTTTTAAATTTGATTCTACTGCTTGCATCAGTTACCTGATGTGGAATAGAGTTCCATGTAGTCATGGCTCTATGTAGTACTGTGCGCCTCCCATAGTCTGTTCTGGACTTGGGGACTGTGAAGAGACCTCTGGTGGCATGTCTCGTGGGCTATGCATGGGGTGTCCGAGCTGTGTGCCAGCATTCCAAACAGACCGCTCGGTGCATTCAACACGTCAACACTTCTTACAAAAAGTCAATCTCTCCTCTACTTTGAACCACGAGAGATTGACATGCATATTATTAATGTTAACTCTCCATGTACATTTAAGGGCCAGCCGTGCTGCCCTGTTCTGAGCCAATTGTAATTTTCCTAAATCCCTCTTTGTGGCACCTGACCACATGACTGGACAGTAGTCCAGGTGCTACAAAACTAGGGCCTGTAGGACCTGCCTTGTTGATAGTGTTGTTAAGAAGGCAGAGTTGCGCTTTATTATGGACAGACTTCTCCCCATCTTAGCTACTGTAGCATCAACATGTTTCAACCATGACAGTTTACAATTCAAGGTTACTCCAAGCAGTTTTGTCATCTCAACTTGCTCAATTTCCACATTATTAATTGCAAGATTTAGTTGCGGTTTAGGGTTTAGTGAATGATTTGTCCCAAATACAATGCTTTTAGTTTTTGAAATATTTAGGACTAACTTATTTCTTGCCCCCATTCTGAAACTGACTGAAGCTCTTTGTCAAATGTTGCAGTAACTTCACTCTCTGTAGTAACTGACGTGTATACAGTCGTGGTCAAAAGTTGAGAATGACACAAATATTAATTTTCACAAAGTCTGCTGCCTCAGTTTTTATGATGGCAATTTGCATATACTCCAGAATGTTATGAAGAGTGATCAGATGAATTGCAATTAATTGCAAAGTCCCTCTTTGCCATGAAAATGAACTTAATCCCCAAAAAAACATTTCCACTGCATTTCAGCCCTGCCACAAAAAGGACCAGCTGACATCATGTCAATGATTATCTCGTTAACACAGGTGAGAGTGTTGACGACGACAAGGCTGGAGATCACTCTGTCATGCTGATTGAGTTAGAATAACAGACTGGAAGCTTTAAAAGGAGGGTGGTGCTTGAAATCATTGTTCTTCTTCTGTTAACCATGGTTACCTGCAAGGAAACACGTGTCGTCATCATTGCTTTGCACAAAAAGGGCTTCACAGGCAAGGATATTGCTGCTAGTAAGATTGCACCTAAAATCAACCATTTATCGGATCAAGAACTTCAAGGAGAGAGGTTCAATTGTTGTGAACAAGGCTTCAGGGCGCCCAAGAAAGTCCAGCAAGCGCCAGGACCGTCTCCTAAAGTTGATTCAGCTGCGGAATCGGGGCACCACCAGTGCAGAGCTTGCTCAGGAATGGCAGCAGGCAGGTGTGAGTGCATCTGCACGCACAGTGAGGCGAAGACTTTTGGAGGATGGCCTGGTGTCAAGAAGGGCAGCGAGGAAGCCACTTCTCTCCAGGAAAAACATCAGGGACAGACTGATATTCTGCAAATGGTACAGGGATTGGACTGCTGAGGACTGGGGTAAAGTCATTTTCTCTGATGGATCCCCTTTCCGATTGTTTGGGGCATCCGGAAAAAAGCTTGTCCGGAGAAGACAAGGTGAGCGAGCGCTACCATCAGTCATGTGTCATGTGTCATGCCAACAGTAAAGCATCCTGAGACCATTCATGTGTGGGGTTGCTTCTCAGCCAAGGGAGTGGGCTCACTCACAATTTTGCCTAAGAACACAGCCATGAATAAAGAATGTTACCAACACATCCTCCGAGAGCAACTTCTCCCAACCATCCAAGAACAGTTTGGTGACGAACAATGCCTTTTCCAGCATGATGGAGCACCTTGCCATAAGGCAAAAGTGATAACTAAGTGGCTCGGGAACAAAACATCGAAATTTTGGGTCCATGGCCAGGAAACTCCCCAGACCTTAATCCCATTGAGAACTTGTGGTCAATCCTCAAGAGGCGGGTGGACAAACAAAAACCCACAAATTCTGATAAACTCCAAGCATTGATTATGCAAGAATGGGCTGCCATCAGTCAGGATGTGGCCCAGAAGTTAATTGACAGCATGCCAGGGCAGATTGCAGAGGTCTTGAAAAAGAAGGGTCAACACTGCAAATATTGACTCTTTGCATAAACTTAATGTAATTGTCAATAAAAGCCTTTGACACTTACGGAATGCTTGTAATTATACTTCAGTATACCATAGTAACATCTGAAAAAAATATCTAAAAACACTGAAGCAGCAAACTTTGTGAAGACCAATACTTGTGTCATTCTCAAAACATTTGACCACGACTGTAGTGTTGAGTCATCCGCATACATAGACACACTGGCTTTACTCAAAGCCAGTGGCATGTCGTTAGTAAAGATTGAAAAAAGTAAGGGGCCTAGACAGCTGCCCTGGGAAATTCCTGATTCTACCTGGATTATGTTGGAGAGGCTTCCATTAAAGAACACCCTCTGTGTTCTATTAGACAGGTACCCCTTTATCCACAATATAGCAGGGGGTGTAAAGCCATTACACATATGTTTTTCCAGCAGCAGACTATAATCAATAATGTCAAAAGCTACACTGAAGTCTAACAAAGCAGCTCCCACAATCTTTTTATTATCAATTTCTCTCAGTAATCATCAGTAATTTGTGTAAGTGCTTGTTGAATGTCCTTCCCTATAAGCATGCTGAAAGTCTGTTAAATTGTTTACTGTAAAACAGCATTGTATCTGGTCAAACACAATTTTTTTCAAAAGTTTACTAAGGGTTGGTAACAGGTTGATTGGTCGGCTATTTGAGCCAGTAAAGGGGGCTTCACTATTCTTGGGGAGCGGAATGACTTTTGCTTCCCTCCAGGCCTGAGGGCACACACTTTCTTGTAGGCAAAGATTGACGATATGGCCAATAGGAGTGGCAATATCGTCTGCTATTTATCCTCAGAATTTTTTCCCATCCAAGTTGTCAACCAAGTTGCTCATGAAACAGTGTAAAAACACATCCGTCAGTCCCAACGCGGGTGTCCTAAACACACGCCCGACAGCACCAACGGCGGTGGTCCCTATAACAACGCGCCGACAGCAGCCAACGCGGGTGTACCTATCCACCGCGCAGCAACACGGCGGTGTCCTAAACACACCGCCCGACAGCAGCAACGTGGGGGTCCCTAACACCCCGCCACAGCAGCACGGCGCCTATACACAACCCCGCCGACAGCAAGCCAACGGCCCTGTACTGTGCACACCGACAAACGGTCTGGTGAGATTTCTCCCTAACTTGTAGGAGCAGACTAATGACTGTATACGCCGTACCTGTTCCAAGTGGTTCCTTCTCGTGTGACAGGGAGATTCTAATACCAAGCTGTAAAACAGAAACAGTACGTGGGTCAAGTACTTAGTTTAGACAAAAAGCTCAAATACAAAAAAACAATAGATACATTGACAACAGGAGAAAGCCTTACCCTCTCTTCCTGAACCCTCATCTCTCGCTCCAACAGATCTGACATGTAACTCACAGCCAGGATTACATGGTTAACTCCAGCCTGTCGACAGTCAGACACAGAATAAACAACATACACAGACTTGGCCTTGGAGTCCAACGGCAGAGGAATACTTCCAGGTCTTGTTTAGGCTAGTGGCCACTTTGCTTTCCTGGATATTGTATATTGCATTGTACTAGAGTAGGTAGGTACAACCATTTACACTGTACATGTGAATGTTACAGTAGATTTATAATCCATCTACCAGATAGATTATAAATCCATGATGTATGAATGTACATGACGGCAGGTTGTACGACTCACTAGTCAGCCTTGAGACCCAACAGCAGCCAGAGCAATCCTTCCAGGTCTTGTTTAGACTACTAACAAAACAGTGCTCCTGCTTGTTGTCAATGAGATATTCTCCCATGTTAAATTGTGTAAACAATACGTATGCATACTGTACTAGGTACAGCCAATCCATCTACACTGTACATGTGAATGTTACAGTAGGTCGATTATACATCAATGACAAATGAATATTCACAATGACAGGTTGTAAGTGTCACTAACCTTGACCAGGGCTTCAACTTGATGCAGAAGGATGGGTTTGTTGGCAAACTCCACCAGTGGTTTAGGAACACTGAGGGTTAGAGGCCGGAGTCTGGTTCCATAGCCACCCACTAGGATCAGAGCTTTCATCTTGGCCCAGTACGAGATGGGGTCATCAATGGGTTAAAGAGAGCAGGGTGGCAGCAAGCATCAAATCCTGGGAGATTGAGGTTATAGTGGCGCCTAGATACAATAATAATCGAAACAAGAGCGAGTCATCGATTACTGTACTAAAGCAGTCAACAACAGTGGATTCAGAGGTGACGCTGTTAAGAAGTGTGTTCAGAAACATTTGTTGTTTAGATTGAATTGTATTGACCAAACCAGGGCTGAACATGTGTAATCTTTGGTTTACCCCTTTAAAAAAAGTTATTCTATGTATAGCAGTCTAGTTGTGCAAGTGTTGACAGTTTCGTGGGCGGTCACCCTCATTCACTCCCCTAGTAAGCGATTGCCCTTGATGGCACAATGCCAATAGCCTTACAACATCCTAGAAACCATTTAATTGTACATGAATACACCCCAGTCAGCTAACTATCTGCACCTTTACAGGTGCTATTTTTCTGACTTCCTCATCCTAGGAGCAAGCTAGCTGGTTAGCTAACTAATTGTCTGTCTAGACAAATATACCAAGATAATAACAAAGGATGTTCAACTGATATGAGTAAACCATCACAGTGATTTCAACTCACAGGCAGCTAATTTAGTTAACTACCTAAGTTAGCTAGTTAGCGTCCGGTCTTGGTTAGCTAGCTATCGAAGCTAGCAAAATGAATGAAACATTAAACTGGCAAATGAAATAAACATCAAACATGATTGCTAGTGAGTTGAGGAACTTCAAAACGATCTACTGAAAAGAAAGATAAATCTAGAAAGAACAAACTCTAAATCACTAGCTAATCAAACTTCATACAGCTACCTAGCTAACGTACAGTAGCTAGCTAGCCAACAATCGTTAGTTGGCTAGCTAGCTGGATGGTAGCTAAAACAACAAAGTACAAAGACAAACAAAACTCACTCATAAAAGTTAATCAACCCTTTGCCAACTTGTTTCTTCAAAGCGTCAAGGAATAGGTATAACTGACCATGTAGCTATATGCCACGTAGCCACTAAACAACATGTAAAACGGGTTTTAAATCCTTGAATGACAAGACAAGAAACACTTCCAAAATCTGTCCGAGTGGGCGGATCTAGACCACAATGCCTTTCGACTACAACTCGTAACGTCAAGGAACATTGGGAATAAAAGATGCCCTTCACCTTTTGCCGGTGTGGCTCAAAATGCATAAATGTGAATATAATGTGAATTATTTGAGACTATAGGAGTGCATTGTTTTATCATGATATCCAAACATGCGTTTTACTTTGCGTTTTATTAGCAACCCTAGCCGATAATAGAAAAATAAATACAAATACATGTCTCAAATCCTTTTTTTGGCCGCGCCCCTTTTTATTTTTGACCAATCAGAGAAAAACAACGTGGCTAGGAAGTGCTGTCAAAATGGCACTGTTTTTATTTATATACATTTTTGTCTTACAATATTGTTTATTTAAGTGAATGGACATGCAAACAAACATCGACAACCTGCAAAACATAACATTTACCACAATATGTGAGTAAACGACAGTGATTGGGACCCCCAAAATGGCACAACATGATAGGTGGTCAACGTCTGAGGTGTCATAATGGGCGCGTTTTGAGTGGTAACAGAGAGGAAGAGGAAGAGGAAGAGAGAGGCCCAACTCTCCCTCCAGCAGGTGGAATTGTTTCTCCCACCAAGCAAGGAGTTTTTGTGTGGAGGTCAATGAGAGTGTCGAATTTGGTCAACAACAAAAATGTATGGCTTACTTGCTACGTGAGGTTTATTTGATCTAATAGAAGTTTCATAATGTTTAAGTTGTTATGAGTGTACTGATATAAGTAGGACACGTGACATCCTGGCAACTTGGAGAAAAAACACTTTATATCGGAGTTGTCTCGAGATGGATATGAATATTCATGTAATGAGGCTAGTAGCGTAGACTCTCTCTCCATTGAATTCATGCGGTTGACGTCAACAACCCTCATCGAATATTCAAAAAATAATTACAATAATGAGATGTATCCACCAATCCAAAGAAAGGATTGGCGGGCGCTAGACAGCCTGCCATGCTGCTTTGTGGACAACCACTCCTATTGATAGGGCGGAGAGACGTGTATCTTGTCAGTATAGAGCCCCACAGTGGAAGTGTCATAATACCCATAAAACCTAGCGGTCAAACAGGGAAATTTTCCCAATTGTTTTTCCACCATTCATTTTAGAATCACTTAAAATAAGGGCTGTGTTTTGTGTAGGTTTACTCTGGCTGACGTTTTGATAACCATATACATTTTATCTCGGACAAGGTGACTTTTATCAATATATACAGCTTGATTTACGCTCAGATTCGAAAATGCTAATTAGTATCAAAGTAGACGTCATGCAAGAGTCCAAATCCCTGCATGCTCCTGCAGGTCATCTCTAGCTGACACCTTTGCTAACAGGTAATGTGTAAATGTAGAACTTCCTCAAGACAATTCATAGAATTGTCAATTTAAGGAAATGTAGCCAATTTATTCATTACTAAATGTAGTTAACATCTGGCACATAAGAATGGCAGAATATAACATTCCTTTTTTGAAGTTCGTCCAAGTGTTTTTTGCACAGAGATTTTTTATTTTATTTATTTAACTAGGCAAGTCAGTTTAGAACAAATTCTCATTTACAATGACGGCCAACGCTGGGCCAATTGTGCGCTGCCCTATGGGACTCCCAATCACAGCCGGTTGTGATACAGCCTGGAATTGAACCCATGAGTGTCTGTAGTGACACCTCAAGCACTGAGATGCAGTGCCTTAGACCGCTGCGCCACTCGGGAGAGATCGAGATCCTCTGTCCAACTTTTATCACCCAAACTCTCCTGTCGGATTGATCTATAGTTATGCACATGCGCAAACTGGATTTATGTACAATTATAAACTGGGTAGTTCGAGCCCTGAATGCTCTAATTATGTTGGTTGTGCCTAAGAACAGCCATTAGCCTTGGTATATTGGCTGAGTGGCGCAGCGGTGTAAGGCTCAGCGCTTGAGGCGTCACTACAGACATCCTGGTTCGATTCCAGGCTGTATCACAACTGGCCGTGATTGGGAGTCCCATAGGGGCGGTGCACAATTGGCCCAGGTTTGGCCGGTGTAGGCCGTCATTGTAAATAAGAATTTGTTCTTAACTGACTCGCCTAGTTAAATAAAAATATATACCACACCCCCTTATTGCTTAATTATAAACTGGGTGGTTTGAGCCCTGAATGCTGATTGATTGAAAGACGTGGTATATCAGACAGTGTACCATGGGTATGACAAATGTATTTATACTGTTCTAATTCCGTTGGTAACCAGTTTATAATAGCATTAAGGCACCTCAGGGGTTTGTGGTAAATGGCCCACTTAATGTACCACGGCTAAGGGTTATTTTGATGGAAAACCCAATTTTGTTTCTTAGCCTACGTCGTTACAAATAATGTCGATAATTCGCTCCATATCGTTATGGGAAAAGGATTCATCGGATAAATGTGGCAACTCCTCTCTTGCTGCAAAACATTTTGGGGGGAGGGGCTAGTTTTCAGGCCTTGTGGGCAGGTTTTGAGTGCTCATTGGGCTAGATATTTTAGCTAGACCTGGCAACAATGATGACATGATGTATACAAAAGGTCACCAGTGAACCCAGTGATTTTTACAGGCTCACCAGTGAACCAGTTCCTAGGTTTATTGTACCAAGAGTAATTTATTGATCTTGACATTTCTTTTTACTGTCTTCATGGGGGAGTAACTTTACATCAGATTGATCTTAAATTGGTCAGCAATATTGAAAACAATATTCAACAACATTGAATGCATTAAATTCTCCAGCTTTGCATTACAGTAATCAACATTGTATTGCTTTGTAGTGTAGAGAGGTGACCTAGCTAGCTACAGGTTTTCATTTCTACAGGTTTTGGTAGATAAATGTTTTTTAAACAATACATAGTATTGTATGAACTGAACAGACGCCTATCGTTTGTCAATAAACACATTTAAAATATAAAAAAGTTTTAGAATGTTTTATAGAGTTCTTATGTTGCAGTCCTCACTACAACAAATAAATACTTACATTTATTTTTGTCCTTGAAACATTACATTGATATACTGTAGATTCCTATGGAGCCTGGTTCTTATGAGGAGTATCATAATGGCGGACGGTGACTTCAGAACAGCGCCCCTTGTCAGTCTTCTAGTGAATACACGTATATAATTGGTTGGGGAGTAGCGAAATAAATTAGCTGTACCTAGTTCAACTAGTAATTTAATTAGATTTTGCCGTAGCTTGGTGATAGTTGAACTACATTCAAATGTTGGTAGTGTTTTAAGTAGTTAATTAGTTTTTTTTTGCCTTGTAGTGGTGTAGCTAACTACAGGAACTACACACTACTCTTTTTGCATAAAATATGGGTAAAGTAGGCAAGCATTTCCTTTCTTTTTCGGCATCAGACCTGCCTGATTCTCACTTGAAAAATAGTTTTTGTGTTTAATAGGCAAAATCACACATTCTGTTAACAACTGACTCCAGAGTGATCTGCAATTTGTAGTCTATTACTTTTCAGATTTAGGTATAATTTTTCACGAAGTAGTTTGAAAAAGTTGTTCATTACATCCAAATTAACTTGAGTTAAGTGACCAAAATGTTTCTTTAGTGTAGCTTAACTTCTTCCAGTGTGAAGTAAATGTTGTTGCATAAATGCATTCATTATAGATATAAGACTAAAATAGTCCCATGTAATGTCGAGACAATTTCAAATCACTTGATTAGGTTGGTGAAGTCAAATAGGGACAAGTAAAGTACAGTATGTAACAGTCCACTAATTATGAATGTTCACAGCCGGTGGATGCAACTTTCGCCCGCTGGAGTCTGGTTCCTCTGAAGGTTTCTTCCTTGTTCGTTTCTTCTTGCCGCCGTCACCCCTGCTTGCTCTTTGAGGATATACAGGCTGCTAAGTATGTGTGTCTGCAACCTTTTTAGATAGTACATAGTCTCCCTAGGCAGACGGGTTGCCTCCCACATTAACAATGTTCCAGCACACACACTAGTGCGGTTTCCCTAGGTCTGAGATTTTCAGAGACTAGATAATATGAATAAAATACAAATAAAGCAAGCAAACAGACAAAAACAACACCAATATTTATTTCTTAAATAAATTGTTTTATAGCGCACATTCAAAATTGTCATAAAGATGTCATTATAATTCGTAAAAAAATATCCATCCATGCAACAACAACGGAAAAAGATACTTTTGGGGTAATATATTTTTTCTTCTACAAGTAATTTCTCAGATCTATGAAAGACAAATAACTTCCACCACTTCTTCTTCCAGATCCCTTTATAGACTTGTGGATTCTTCTTTCCCTCTTTTATTACTTTCAGATTATTATTCCTTAATCTTTGGATGAGTCCACAACGACACCCTATCCCCTTCATAGGGCCATACCTTTGACCAAAGACCCATAGGGCTCAAGTCAAAAGTTGTGCACTATTATATAGTGGGAAGAGGGTGGCATTTGGAACGTAATCTTTGTCTCTGGCACAGCGCAAGTTTTGTGGTTTGTTTCACTGCAGTGCTCTTTTCCTTTAACAGACTTCATTTAAGACAAATGCCCCGTTTTTAAAAAAGGTTAAAACAAATTAAAATAACACTATTTCCAGTTTTTGGAAGATAGTAAAGTATGTCTAGCAAGCTACTTTGAAAATACATATCTTTGGGCATCTTGAAATAATTTTTTCCTTCCACCTAAGACTATTTTGTTCCTCCAAAGCATTTTTTCCGGGTTAATCAACCTGAACAATGTATTTTTGGACAACACATTACAAAGCCCTGCCAAGTAGACTGATAAAGAGGCCTCCTTCCCCACAGGTGGAAATTCCATTATCATATTTTTTCCATTTGAATAAGAGTTTGAAGAAAAGGTCTTCAATAAATACGAATGAGTTTGGAACTCTGGGGGTAAGAAGACGACAACACAACTTTTAACAGTTGTTAAATGGAATAGTGACTTTTTCGGGAGACTATTTTCTCCATAATGCCAAATGTCCAGAACTAGGGAGCACACATAGAAACACAAATAGAATTGGTTCTAGAATCAGAATAGAAATCAGCATGCATGTAGTAGACAG